TGTTTATAACAGCGAGCATTCTTGGCCATTTTCGCGAGATGTGTTCCATAAGTAGCCTGTTCTCGTGACGTATGACGAAATAATAATAAAACTAAATAATGTAAAAAAAACGTTGGTCGCTACATTTAAATATTTCATATTAGCCGGTATAGCTAAACATTGTTTATTTTCATTAAAGCGCTTAGGCGTTGTTGGAGTTGGCAGGAGGCGTTTTGGAATTTTCCGAGAGAACAGGCTACTTATGGAACACATCACACGATCGCAGCCTAGACCTAGGCCTTTTAGTCTTATTATTTTTTTTTAATATTCAGCGCTTTTTCACATGAAAAGACTGGGACTAGCTAGTCCCAGTCTTTTCATGGGACTAGCTAGTCCCAGTCTTTTCATGTGAAAAAGCGCTGAATATTAAAAATATATAAATAAAAAAAGAAGGCCTAGGTCTAGGCTGACAATCACATAACCTGAAGTTCAGGCCCTAATTTGAAATAGGGCCTGACACAAAACCTATCTAAACCGTGGGACGCCCACATGTTATTTTTAGTGACTGTTATGTCAATAGATTTCATTACACGAAAAATATCAGAGGGAAAATATAAAGATATGTAATTTCATTTCATGTTATATTCTCATGAACATGTCCGCAGAGTGTGCATTTTAAACTTAAAAATCCAAGGTACTTTTAAGAGTTCAGTTTCTCCATTTAATTTAACCAGAGCAAACAAAGATTTAGTCTGTTCTGTGCAACAGTGCAAGGACTGAATTCAACTTCAACTTTATTTAAACACGGTACTATTTCACAGTATATATGCAAATATATACAAATAGTTTTGTTCTCTGCGATCTACTTTCCGCAATTGGAATTAAAGTGCGTCAAGAAAACACGCTAAAATCATTTGTTTCATCATTAAACGAGGGATCTAAACAAACGGCTTGACTGCCAAGCTTTCTCAAGGTCTCAACTTGCTGGACGCGGATATACAATTTCTAACGGGATAACAACAGCAATAACGAAATTCTTTATCGTACCATGACGAAGGCGATATGGCTCAGAAAACAACGCCGGTAAGACCTGATAAATAACACTTTCACCGAAGCCAGTTGGCAGAACGGCAAAGACATCTTGGGCCTTGGCTGTCAACAACAAGCTTTCGAATGCACGACTTTTGCTGTTCTTTAAGCGTCGTGTGTCCAAACTTCGTCAAAGATTTTGATAAAGCCCTTTCAAAATACTGTGTGTTCGATTTATTTTCTGCCATAAAGCATATTAAACAAAAGAAATTCGAAGAAATTCGACCACAGGCGGCCCAATCTCAGAATGAATGATCAGGTGTTGCGGGTTTTTAACGGTTTTTATAAACAAATTTATAGTCAACCAAAACTATTTTAAAAACATTCTTAAATTAGTCAAATAAATACATTTTAACAATAAAATATAGTTGACATGATAGTATAATACCTTTGCATTCTTTTAATTACTCCATGAGCTCATTTAGAGCGGTTGATGTAACATTTTCTGTGGCCTACATTGAGTGTGCTCATCTATATATAATTGCTGCCGAGCGTAGCGAGGCAGCTCCCCAGTGTGACCAGGTTTTTTCAGGCCAAATTACCACATCCGGTTTCAAAAATTACTATTTTCGGTCTGAAATTACCACGGTGCTATATTTTCCCAATTTTACCATACTTTTTCGAAAAATTCCCCAAAAATGTTGGCGAGCGGGGGGGGGGGGGGAGGTCCAAAAAAATTTTTCCGGACAAAATTTTTTCCGGACAAGTTCCTCGTAAATTAGGGTCAAAAACCGGTTTTTTTCGCCTAAAACAAGGCCAAAATCTGTAACAAAATCTGTAACACTTAGGGGCTTTTCACTAAAATCTGTACATTTAAGGTCAGGAAATTTCAAATTACCACAATCGGCAGAAATTTGACGAAAAATTACCACGGTTGTTCTGAAATTACCGTAGTAATTACCACAAATTTCCAATTACCACAATTGCCCAAAAATGACGAAAAATTACCACGGTAGTAATGAAATTACCACGTCTGGTCACACTGCAGCTCCCTATTCTTGACGTTACATGACGTTCTTGCTTTTTCGTGCCCAGTCCCCGGCCGAGTTATATTGGGAAACATACTCAATCCATGTCAGTCCGTCGTATGTGAAGATTTTTCGCAACTAATTGTCGTCAGCGTTCGAGCATTCGACGACTCTTTGTTTTCACTATTCGATTTTGATTTATTGCGCTCGCATGATTCTTCTCAGGATTACAGTTTAGTACGAGCTTATTTGCATGCAGTATGTTGATTTTAACGATGCAAAGGATCGACAATATTTTCAATAATTCAGGTAATTCGATTTCAGTTTAATACCTTGTTATTTACATGCAGTATGTTGGATTTTCACGATGCAAACGATCGACAATATTTTGAATATTTCCGGTAAGGATAGCTTTATTTCTTTCTGAATTCTGGTGATATACATGAGGACATTTATATTTAGATTTGCTGTTTAGTCCCTTACCAAAACAAAAGTATGGGAAAGATATGGCAAAGTTTGGGCCATATATGACCCATATGTGGGCATGATATGGGACAGTATAGATAACATATGGGACTGGTATGGTGTCTAAATTTTCTAAATATTGAGATATGGAAAACCTATGGAAACAAACACATTGCTATTAATCCTATGGGTAATCTGTGGGGTTACTTGGTCCATAGATAATCCATATCAATGGCATATGTTTACAAATAACCAATTCTATGGGAATTATATGGTAGTCCACACTTGGTTGTCCCATATACTTTCCATATCTATGGGAATTATATGGTGGTCCACACTTGGTTGTCCCATATACTTTCCATATCTATGGAAATTATATGGTAGTCCACACAGGTTGTCCCATATACTTTCCATATCTATGGGAATTATATGGTAGTCCACACAGGTTGTCCTATATACTTTTCATATCTATGGGAATTATATGGTAGTCCACACAGGTTGTCCCATATACTTTCCATATCTATGGGAATTATATGGTAGTCCACACAGGTTGTCCTATATACTTTCCATATCTATGGGAATTATATGGTAGTCCACCCAGGTTGTCCCATATACTTTCCATATCTATGGGAATTATATGGTAGTCCACACAGGTTGTCCTATATACTTTCCATATCTATGGGAATTATATGGTAGTCCACACAGGTTGTCCTATATACTTTCCATATCTATGGGAATTATATGGTAGTCCACACAGGTTGTCCCATATACTTTTCATATCTATGGGAATTATATGGTAGTCCACACAGGTTGCCCTATATACTTTCCATATCTATGGGAATTGTATGGTAATCGGAACTTGGCGGGGTTCTGATCTCCCATAGAGATTCCATACATATGATTTCTACGGTAATGCATGCTATGCCAATACAGTAGATTTGAAAAACAGAATATACATGTTAGCACAATATGTTAGCAGCATATGTTGTCTGAATAATAACTGCAGTATTTTCTCATATAATTTTAAATATTCACATATTACATTTCAATTGATATATTCAGATATAAGCTAAGTAAATTATACAGAGTAAAAACCCACATTGCCCACATTTTTATAAGAGAAACATGCACTATTGCTTCTTTTTTCCGTTCGAGTGCGAGCATTTTATATAATTATGTTTCTTTTCTTTTATTTTGTTGACTTTAGGACTGACTTATCCTGACCTTATAGAGTATATGACAGTACTTGAAACTCAGGTCGGCATTCGGCAATGCCGACCTAAATGCCGACCTGCAAAGCGATATCCTACTTTCAAATACGTCTCGGCATTTTTTCCGGGAACGCATCTTTTGAAAAGTAAACTTACGTACGTGTTTGTAAAATCGTCAAGCGTCAAGATTTAAGCGAAAGTATACAGTAATAAAGTAGTGTACGGTCTGTCACAACATTTGGTTACAACTTTCAATCCGTAAGCCCGGATCTTCATCAGTGCTAATATTATTAGCACTGATGAAGATCCGGGCTTACGGATCGAAAGCTTTGCAGTAATAAATTTACGTGGTGTTTCCACAAACAAAACCATTATATTTTATCGCCATGCAAACATACAAAGAACTTATTTGGTCACAACATGCACTGTTCGATTGGAGTTCATACATTTTGTTAACCTGCATGGCAGGCCCTCAGTTTTATGGGCCTAACATTTTGTTAGTTGTTTTGTTTGCTATTGGCATTGATTGCAATTAATTGCTGTTTATAAATACGCGTATTTGCACTTTCCAGTCAAAACGCCGCCAGGTCAAAACGTCCCCAACTCCCTAAATAAAGTCAAATCTGTTGGCCGTCAGATATTCTGTCAGTTTTAAAGTAATTTTAAACTATTTTCACATATAATATTTTTGTATTTCTTCTGATCTGATCAAACAACTAAATCAACCACGGTTTGATATAAACCAGGGTCATATAGACATAGTTATGATTTTATTTGGTGAATATGTTGTTTAGTGGCTAAATTTCATATATTGGTGATTTGGTGAGTGTATGTATTGCATCATGACAGTTGGCTTAAATTTACTAACACTAAAACATTCTGAAATCTTGGCACTATTACACTATTATTTGCGAATAAGTTCATTGCCGAATAAAGCAACTAATTCAGAGTTACATACTCCCATGTCGTAACCCTATGTCTGCGAACATGTTTATTCTTTTATAATTTAGTTTCAGTTCAATTTATTTGAACAAAAGAGTTAGGGGTTTTTGGCCTGGGGACGTTTTGGCTGCGCAGAGTCGGAGACGTTTTAACCTGAGGACGTTTTGCTTGGATATCGTATTTGCAACAGGCAAATTAAATTTTCATTTGGATATTGTCTATTTGTTTTGAAAATATTTGCCGACCTAGATAGAGAATTATCGCTTTTAGGTCGACAATTTCTTGCCGACCTGAAATTTCGGGAGTTTCAAGGACTGATATATGCATGTACTACATACAGTTAGTACTAATCTTTTTCCAAATGATTGGGAAAATGTGCCCCATATTTCACCTCGCTGTCCAAAAACGTCATATGAAGACATACATCTACAATGTTGTCAATGTCTACTATGTCGTACTGTTCCTTACTTCTTGGCTGATGTAATGGGACAATATGAGTGACAAGTTTCCCCAACACTTCGTGACTTCTTGCAACATCTTCATTGGACTTTGCCATTGGAGCGATAACAGCACCACATTCCATGGGTCCATTAAAATTTATAAAGTGCACTTCAACTTGCCCATAGCACATTTCTGATTCTTTCTGGTGTGCAACCGTGTAACTGTTTCTTTTTGTGGCTCTCTTATATTCCTTTGAGTGAAAGATTGCTTTGCCAGCTTGCAAACGTGTGAAAAACGTAAGTTCTGAAATTCTTTCAACACCCAGAGACAATAAAAGATCATCTTCATAAGGCGGGTTTACAAAGCCACTTCTCTTTAATGCACCAATGGCATAAAACTCATCTTTCAAATGAGTTCTGTTTGTCCTGCAAAAATGAAAATAGAGCTTTAATTAAGTGGAAGCAGGATAGTGACCGCTGACGTAGAGATTAGTACTGGAGCAAAAATTGAACTTGAACCCTCTTTGTTTGAATCTGTGTGATGTAAAACTGTTAGCTTTACAATGTAAAACAGATAGGGAAAAAGTTTGATTCTGCCAATGTTTTTATTGGGAAGAATTCATAACTGAATGTACGTACTTATCAGTATAACCACGGAATTTCAACACCATATCTTTTACATTCCCAGAAGGCATCTTGTCAATTAACGACGGAAGTGACTGGTTAATAGTGACAGCTGTCATTATCTACAAATAGAAAATGCCAAATTACTTTTTCTATATGCAGGCATTTTGGACATACACTGAAAATTAATGTAACGTATGATTTTTATTGCAAAAAAAATACAACATGTACATTCGTCATTTACTGATTCAGTTGACATTGTACCTGGCTTGGGATATTTTGTGTTCCGTGGAAATAATTCCCTATATCACCATTCCAGTCTTCAAAGACGAACAAGGAATTGCACCATAATGGACCATGGTTCTGCACTGATTCTGTCAGATGAAGTAGCATATGCTGATTCATCAGTAAATATCGTGCACCTGATAATCAGATTATGAGAAAGAGTGCATAAGTGGATGTTGCAGCAACAAGAGTTTCTTATCACGCTCAAGGTTTATGACAGTAAAAATTACAATCATGCTAAAATTTTCTGAAAAATTAAACGCAGTTTAATTAATTGTAAAACAGGAAAATGCTGCAGTGTTCACGTTTTGTGCTAATTCCCAGCATACACTGATATAAAGAATTACATATTTAATAATGAAAACTAATCTATATATAGCCTACAGATTCAATTGCCAAAAGCTCATCAATAAAAATAATTAGTAAGTTCTCTGTAAGTTTGCATGGCGACAAAAGATATAATAGCTTTGTTTGTGGAAACATATTAATTGCAGTAATAAATTTATGTGGTGTTTCCACGAACAAAACTATTATAAAAATAATTAAGTCATATAATGTCCAAGCTTATTATAACAAAATGCATGCAAACACATTATTCCAAATGGAAATTGTGACGTTGCTGTTCATACCATAATAAACATCAATCATCTCAACAAAATGAACCAAGCATATTCGAGCTTTTTCAAGTTGTGCAGGTGAGATCGTGATATTCTAAACTAACGACAGAAAGTTATTTGTACGTGGCCGAATTTGCTGTCTTTTGTGCCAACCGTGATACGGGCCAACAAGCACGCATGCTGATAGTTTACGATTCAACAACAAAGATTCTATCAGTAATTTAAGACGAACTTGCTCACGAGCGCTTATGGTTCTCGCTAGAGGATTGTAAAAGATTTTTAATTGGAAAATAACGCATTATTTATAACGAATCTGTTGATGTTAATAATTATTGTGAAACGTGGTTCTATATATTGATTCCATACAATGCCTTGAACGTATTATGTCAACATATGCTTTATTAAGGCTTAAGCACAGCAACTTTTAATACATATAGAAGACATACACAAGAGGATATATTTATATAATTTATTCTCAAGTTTAAGTTATTTTGTGGCTTATTTAACATGGCAAGGAAAGACGCGACTGTGTTAAACCATGCGTTCAAAATCTTCAAAAATTTGCATGAGCGCGACATCCCTGAAAATAGATATGTTTGGGATCTATCGCCATTCGCCACGTGTGACAGTCCACGCTCCACGCGTGACAGTTAAATGTGATTAGCCAATCAGAGTAATAGTTATACCACTAAAATTATTTCATAAACATATTTAGTTTATAATACGAAAATTCCCCCTTCTTTTTCTCTTTTGTACATATATTATATATATGTCAAAAATTTTGATTTTACATATTATATTCATTGACTGTAAATAATTGATTATATAATCTATCACAAATGAACAGTAACTAGAGGCTAAACGAAAAAGTTTTAGTTCAGATGAAGATTTCTAGTACTCTCTAGCCCAAAATCTTAAAATTATTATAACATATTTTAAGTAGCCTTTTTTTATACACGGGGAATTTAAATTAAATACTGTAATGCATTTTCTTTAAGAAAACTTATAGAATGAAATAAAATAAAAAAATAAACTATAAAAGAGAGATTAACGCTGATAAACTATAATGCATTTTCTTTAAGAAAATATAGTAAGGAACCGGTCATTTATTAGAGGGGGGGGGCTGGTGGATTTTCATTTTCCTCAACATAATTTCACATGGCCCTGCTCCTGTCACTGCATAAAATAATGTAGCCCCCAAGGGAGTGCACATGAAATGGCATGGCCCACCCTCAGTTACAATATTTATATTTTTTTTTCCGGAACAATAAATTTTGGCGACCTCCTCCCCGCAAAATTCGCAGAATTTACCCCATTTATTTTTATAATAACCCAATATTGCACGACTGTGAAAAGAATATTGCTCAACTAGCTTGGTTTGCCCGACTTTTGCCCGACTTTTGTTGAACATTTGCCCGACTTTTCGACTTTGTAATCTTTTGGGGGAGGGGCAGCTGCCCCCCTGCTCCCCCGTCCCGTACGCCTATGCTTGTAGTTGTCACTACATTGTTTTTTTTCATATAAATATTAAAAATTTGACTGATGATCCCTTCAGTGCTGTTTTCTTTTGTAGAATATATAGGAAAATGGAATGCACAAAAATGTATGACCCCCCAAAAATGGTTGCAGAATCTTATGCAACCCCCATTTTCAAGTGCACAAAAAGGTATGACCCCCTCCCCATTTGCACCAGCCCACCCCCTCTAATAAATGACCGGTCCCTAAAATAAAATAGAAAAATAAACTATAAAAGACAGATTAAAGCTTATAACCTTATAATGCATTTTCTTCAACAGAAAGTTGGTATCTTGTAAGTTACGAGGACGATAACACATTGCGTGTTCTCGCTAAAGATGACATGAAACACATCTTCCCAGACGAAGATCAATCCGGCGACGAAGCTGAATACAATGTGGGAGATATTGTGAGTGCAGTGTGGTTACCAAATGGTCAATTTTATGATGCGAAGGTGGTGCAGAGTGGGAGTAAGTGCCAGTCTTTTGTAATAGCAAATTTAAATATATCTGCATTGGCAGTATCTTGTTAAACCATTATTAAATTTAAAGCTGCACCCTGCCCAAGCTGGCCGCCTTGCCTCCAGAGTACAGCACTAGCAAATAAAGGAAGGTCCTATCATGCTGAAATCTCTTAATTTCATCAGGAACACTCCAACGTCCTCCGTTCACGTCCTCAAAACTATTGCACTAAATAAAAAAAGCTGTAGAACATATTAACTACAGTACCTTTTTACACTCCTTTCAAAATTCAAATCCATAAAGTTCCCACAAGTGATATAGGCACTTTAAATTCTAGCTAAAATCCTGGTTGTATAATGTATGATTTACAGGTGATCGACATGAGCTCATGAAAGAAAGGATGCGACTGGAGAAGGCTAGGAAAGGTGGAGCAACAAAAGGGACTGGCAAAGGAATTAATAGGAAAGAACAACAACCTGAACAGGACAAAAGAAGTGAACAGAAAGCAAAGAACAAAAAGACCGTGAAGCAGTCAAAAAATCTGAATAATAAAGTCAATAAAGATACCCAAAAAGAGAACGAAAAGGAAGAGAAAAGAAAGAAGAAGATGAACAACGACAGCTGGCTATCATAGAAGCAAAAAAGAAACAGGCTGCGTCAAGGTGGGCATCTTCCCCTACCCTTTCCAATTCTGAACATGCACATCCCGATTTCACTCCTGAGCCTATTCGACGACCAATCCTATCCCCAATACAGACTCCTGTGTCTCAAGCTAACAGACAAATTGATGACACTCGCAACCGCTCTGCTCTAAGCTCGAGCAGTACCCAACAAGAGCCTCAGTCTTTTATAGTCCATTCTCCTACACCATTACCTGCAACTAAAAAACGAGTAAGTGACAGTGGTAACCGCTCAGTTCTGAGCTCGTGTAGCTCTCTCTCAACCCAACAACATACAATTAGGTCAAAAAATCCTGGAGAGTCCAGGGTTGCATTTTCAGTGTGCCCAGTCAGAGACAATCAGTGATGATGATGATGACAAACAGGAATCAGATGAAGAAGATGAACAGGAGACCATAAGCATGCCTAAAGTTGTTGGTGATTGCTGCAAAGAAGGTCAGCAAGAAATTGAAGCCCTACGAAAACGATTGACGAAAACACACAAACGACTTAGCATTGCATGTAAGTATTAAATGGTGTAATTGTAAGATGTGGGGTCCAGTATAGGTAGCTGTTCAGATAATAGAATTATAGATGCCTCGCCTGTTAAAAAAACTTACATTTTGATCCCAGCCAATTCTCCTACTAAATTAACTTTCTTAAAAATTTACTTGAAACCTCAATAGTAATTTATTTCTCTGTTACAATACAGGTAGTTTACAGTAGACAAAAATCCTAACATGTAATTATATCTTAATTGTGTTTAAGTAAGCTTACCTCGAGTAAGCTTAATTGTGTTTAAGTAAGCTTACTTAAGTAAGCTTACCTTGTGTTTAAGTAAGCTTACCGCCCCCCCCCCCCGCCCGGTATGCCTATGGCTACAGGTTTCACCAATTACAGCAACTCTAATATACATGAGGCCATATAAAATAAATTCCTTGATTCTCATCACCGCCCGACGATATTTTGGTTTCCGCGTTGATATATTTTTGTATTTTGTTATAAAATATAAATTTACCGCCCGACCGAGCATCTCAGAGATTTAGTTATTTTTATATTTTATATTGGAATTTTTGCGATATAAAATTGTTTTATCGTTAATATTGCAACATGTTCAGGGATGCTTGGAATACTGAAGGAAAAAATGGGCTTATATAGCCTTATTACAACGATTTGTGTGGACCCTTATGCATGTTCATTAGCGCATGTGCAATTATCCACTTATATAGCGTTCTTCTATAATATATTTAAGGGCAAATATAAAAAGACCTCCCTCTCCAATTTTTTAAATTTTAAACTTTTTTTTTATATTTTGACATAAAATATAAAATATAAACCTCCCGCCTCCTGGGAGTTTTTAAAATTTAGCGATGAGAATCAAGGAATTTATTTTATATGGCCTGAAGAAGGATCTTGTGAAATGTCAAGGGGAGAGTCTTGCAACTTAATGGGTTAATCAATGGCACTTATTTTCCATAGGTAAAGTTTGCTCAAGATTCTCCAAAGAAGGCCCTGCACCAAGTCAGGTTATACAAAAGATAAATATGAAGTGTGTGGAGGCCAGGCGGCCACAAAGAGTCCGAGTAGCCAAGCCCACAAGTTGACAGAGAGGACATTACAGATCGATCAATAAGTAGCAGCTAGTACTTGACATTATTGTATGTTTTTGTATATAGTATGTTTATATAGTAGTAGCTAGTATTTGACAGTATTGCATGTTTGTAATACATAATGGTAATTTAGTTATAGTTAGATAAATTTTGGAACTTCATCAACAAATAGTAAATTAGTTTGCAATTTTGTAATTTGTTTATTTATTTGTTTTTTGAAGATTTTTTGCATGTTAGTAAATATATATATATATATATATAGCATTGGAAATGGTATGGGTGCAACAATTATCATTTTATATTGGGAATGGTATGGGCGCTTGTTTTTACCCATACCAAACCCATGTTAACATGTAGATGTTATTATTTATTGAGCGTTCTCTGACTTAATATTTATTTCTACGAGCTCAACCTGGCTACGCATCTTCTATTTTTTCAATGTAGATGTTAGTTGTTAACATGGGTTTGGTATGGGATAAAAACAAGTGCCCATACCATTCCCAATATACCGGGTGTCCCAAAAAAAAGTACTCCGGTTTGATTCGTAATAACTTCGAAACAAGTAAAGCTTTTAAAGAGAAATAACTTGCATCAAATAGAGGAAGCCCTAACTTAGATTTTGATGTGTTACACTTGTATTTCACTTAAAAATTCTCGGAGATATTAATGTTCAAAATCGGGAGCATATTTCTGGATGTGTCTGAAATATGCAAAAAACGGGGTATCAAATATTAATCAAGATTTGCCCAAATGAAACATGCACTATTACCAGTAAATAAATGACACTTGACAAATTGTTTATTATGAAACAAAGTATTGTTATCTACAAAATGCAAGGAAGATTCATTCGTCCGAAATCCGCGTGTGTTTCTATAGCACGAGTACGTTTCCTTATTTCATAAAACCACTGACTGCATCGCGAAGGATCGTCATGGATCGTTCGTGTTCTGAATTAGGGGATGCTGTCACAATGGAATTGTGAAGCTCTTCTAACTTTTGCAACGTTCTGAAATCTTGTTAAGAACACTCAATCTTTTTCGCTTTTTCTTAATCTTGGCAAGTTCAGAATAAACTAAGAATGAAACACAATCAAACTATACAACTCCATAAGACATAACAAGCAACTCCCCAGAGACATCCAACATTTTTGGAACAAAACGTAACAAAATAGTAGCGTTGATACTGTGATGTGTATTTGCAAAATGCAGTATTATTTCCTTCATTAAAAAATAATATTCATCCTGCTCTAATCGAGAAATATTCAACTCTGTTTTCAACTCATGAAAAGCATAAAAAATATGGGCTATTTAAGAAAAATTTAAGCGCCTGCCTTGAATGGTCTTTCATGTACCTTTAAGTTTGTATTAAAGACCTATTAAATACTTTACGTTTATATTTCGTAATATAATACGAACGTTTATATTTCAGGAAACAATGAGCTTAGATGCAAGATGTCTAAATCTACGCCATATCCTTATACAATCCCTGACGACAATTCGCTGAAATACAAGTTAGCCTGATATGTCATTAAACAAACAAACGCTGGAGTTAATATTTGATATGCCGATTTTCTCTAATTTTAGACACATCCCAAAATATGCTCCCGATTTTGAATATTAATATCTCCGTGAATTTTTAAGTAAAATACAACTGTAATATATCAAAATCTAAGTTAGTCCTTCCTCTATTTAATGCAAGTTATTTCTGTTTGATAACTTTACTTGTTTAGAAGTTATTATAAATCAAACCGAAGTACTTTTTTTTGGGACACCCGGTATATGATAATTGTTGCACCCATACCATTCCCATGCATTGCTCTATGGGCACTTGTTTTTGTCCCATACCAAACCCATGTTAACACATGGATGTTAGGTGTTAACATGGGTTCGGTATGGGCGGAAGAAAAAAAGTGCCCATACCATACCCAATATAATATGATAATTGTTGCACCCATACCATTCCCATATATGACTTCCCATAGTTGTTTATACCTCTAGAACCATATGAATTCCATATCATGTTCCCAGATCATTCCCATATAGAATCCTATCATTCCCATAGCAAAGTTGTTATGAAATGGTATAAGGAACCCATATGCCTAAAACGTACGTTCCGTTTATCAATTTGTTATTCTTCGCTGGTTTGTTTGTATAAATTTAGGAAAAAGGGACTTTTCCTGGGGGGGGGGGGGTGAAAGTGAGCCTCAGAACATGCATTTTCATTTCCGATTAGCCTGCATCAGAGCAAAGTATCCAAGCTTTCTTGGCTACGTTCTCGTTCCTCCAGACTTTCCTCCCCTTCTCAAGGTGGAGCACGTCCAAAGGCTTGCAGGAGAGTTCGGCTGGGTCCTTTAGAAACGTACTTGCCAACTTAAATTGCTAACTTAAAATCTGCGGATTTTGAAGTATTTTGTGTTTTGTTAGTTTTGCTTTGTAAGATATTTAAAATAGGATAATCACTTTAAGATATCATATGGAGCATAAGGACCGTCTTGGGCTTGCATCTAGTCCTTAAGTTTGTTTTATTATATAGCAAGTATATTAGTAATGACATGAGCAATGTTATTATTATTAATATTACTTAATGATCGGACATAAAGCAATGTGGATTGACTTTTTTATGATACGCTGTACTAATAAAGGAAAGCTTCGCCAAATTTCTTTACTAGTTTTAATTCATTGAGCGGTTTTCTAATTCTCAAGACACCAGAGTCCGTTTTATAGTTTCGTAATTCCCCGATTCCCGTTTATCCTGTCGAATTTCTGTTTCTTTTTTCTGTTCTTCTCCCCCCCGTACATATGATTAATATTACGTATTAATAATAATTCATAATTGCTCGATCCCCCTCCCCCCGTTAATCGTTCCTCCATTCCCCGTTCTTCGTTCCCCCCATTCCCTGTTCGGATCCTCCATTCCCCGTTCCCCCATTCCACGTTTTTCGACAGAGAAGACGATCTTTTTGCCTGTATTCAATCTACAAACACTAAAAACAAGTTTACTAGTCGTATTTTACTCGTATGTACTCGTATGTACTTGTGTTTTACTCGTATGTTACTCGTATGTTACTCGTATGTACTCGTGTGTTACTCGTATGTACTCGTATGTTACTCGTATGTACTCGTGTGTTACTCGTATGTACTCGGGCTATCTTTAAAATAGGGAACGGGAATGGGGGAATACGGGAATGGGGGAATGCGGGAATACGGGAATGGGGGAATGGGGGAATGCGGGAATGGGGGAATGCGGGAATGGGGGAATGGGGGAATACGGAAATGGGGGAATACGGGAACGGGGGAATGCGGGAATGTAGGGTTAACGAATTTTTCTTGAAACAGTCTATCCAAAGAAATATTTAAATACGTGTTGAAAGGAAATCCACTGTATTGCAATTATTTAAATGAAAGTGTTGGCGTGCACAGACTCTTTATTAATATGACTTCGAAAACAAAAAGAAAATAGTCGAACTACGGTAGAAGTAATATTCGTAGTGTTTTAATAATATAAAACCTTGCGGTATATTAAAAATACCTATATTTTAAGTGTTTTATTACTGTGCATTAATACAATATTATTCAAGGTGTTCTTCAGGGTGTTCTTAGTGAAAATTTAAAATTTAAATATTACTAAAGTAAAAAGTAAGAGAGCAGTCATTATTAATGCCGGGGGGGGGGGGCAGATGTATGGAGTTAGGAAGGGGACAAAATTCAGGTCAGATATCGTAGGGGCGGTTTATAACATCGAGTGGCGGTACATGCTGTCGATTCACAACGTCGAATGGCGCTTCATGTCTTCGAGTCGAAGGATTATGTCTTCGAGTCGAAGGTTTACAACTTTAACTCGGGTGTCGTGTCTTCGAGTCGAAGTTTTGTGTCTTCGAGTCGAAGTTTTATATCTTCGAGTCGAAGTTTACAACTTTAACTCGCGTGTCGTGTCTTCGAGTCGGAGGTTCTTGTCTTCGAGTCGGACAGCGGTTTCATTTCTTCGCGTTGAACCTTACGGTATTTTATGGTCAGCGGATCAACTGTCCATTCGACAATACTTCATCTTTTTACAATTTTGCTTTATAAAAATAATATCTAAAAATCATTGAGCTACAGTAAAAAAAATCATTGAGCTACAGTAGTAAATTAATACTTTTCTTCATTACGATATGTAATACAAGTATGTCAACAACTATTAGTTCACCGTTGGTTTCTCCTGGCGATAACTTGAAGCAGTTTATCTGCAGAAGTCTTACTGAAGTGGTTAGACTTTTTGAAGGAGTATCATTGAATAATGACCGCACTCAATTTGAACATGCATTATACAAGTTGGAACAAGTCATTCAAATTGGAATTAGCAGTGACGAACAAGGGTTATGGCATCAAGTATTTCCGGAACATTTGCTGGATACACTTATTTATGCATTTAATACATTACTCGAGGAAACCATGAGTTTACATTCAGATTGTTCAACGATGTCAGTGACAAAACCAGCTACTGTTGCTAAAGATTCAGCGGGCAGGCCCGCATTTGAAATAAAAAGGGAAACACTAAAACTTTTTATGAGCTATGACTTCTCCTTAGTTAAGATTGGTGAAATGTTAGGTGTCAGTGCCAAGACAATAAGCCGAAGAATTAAGGAATTTGGTTTAAAAGAAGAGGTCCCCAAATACACAGATATTACAAATGATGACCTTGATAAATTAGTTTCAGATATTTATGGAGAATTTCCAAATTGTGGTATTCGAAGAATGAAGGGATTTCTAACTGCAAGAGGTATAAATTTGCAATGGGAGCGTGTCAGATCGTCACTATGGAGAATTGACCCCGAGGGCATTATATTGAGATCAATGCAGTTAAATTTAGTTAACCGAAGGCGATACTTTGTACCTGGGCCACTATTCTTGTGGCACTTAGATGGCAACCATAAGTTGATCAGATGGGGATTCGTTATCCACGGGTGTATAGACGGCTACTCGAGGCGGATTATGTTTTTGAAAGCAAGCACCAACAATCTAGCAAACACAGTGTTTAGTCTTTTCATCGAAGCTGTTGATAGGTTTGGTCTTCCACAAGGAGTTCGGGGTGACCAAGGGGTAGAAAATGTCGATGTGGCATGGTTTATGCTATCAAACCCTGCCAGAGGCCCTGATCGTGGTAGTTTTATAGCAGGAAAGAGCTGCCACAATCAGCGTATCGAAAGACTCTGGAGGGACGTCTTTCATGGTTGCACATTCATTTTTTACTATGTCTTCTGGTATCTTGAAGAAAATGGTTATTTGGAAATTGACAATGAATTACACATGTTTTGTTTACATTATGTATTTCTTCCTAGAATAAATCGACATCTAGATCTATTCAGAAATGGCTATGATAATCACCCATTAAGAACTGAATCAAACATGACACCAAATCAGTTATGGGTGTATGGTTTAAACCAAGTTCATAGCGGCCACATTCCAACCTCAGAACCAACAAGTGCCAATATGTATGGTATTGATTTTGAAGGACCGTTGCCATCTCGAGTCTACAATGGTGAAACATTAAATGAAATTTCTGTCTATGTTCCTCCTGTTGCAAGCCCATTGAATGACAGCCAGTTAAACTTACTTCGTTCAGTTGTTAATCCATTAGCATCATCATCATCACATGGACTGGATATATATTTAAACACAGTACAAATCATTCATAATATGCTCCAATCAAGTGTAACTAATCATCCTTGTGGATAACCTCAAAATAATTAAATTAAACATAAAATACACTTTTACTATTTAACAATTAACTGCCAAAGGTGATGTGATTGCAGCCTATATTCTATAGACTTGTGATTACCAAGCCTGAGGCGAGTATAATTTCAGTATTGAAAAAGTTCTATTTATAAATACAACTAATATACGTGTTCATTTTATGAATATAATTTGCATAAATAATATACTTCCGTCTGATTTTCAGCCAATTTTTTGAAAAACAATAGCTTGCTTCAGCGTTACCAGTTAGAGGGAGCCAATCAGAATGCTCAAAGGCCATTTTTCAATACTGAAATTATACTAATTATTGATGATGATATAATCACAATTTGGTTACAATTTCATTACACGCTATCATCAGGTACAGTATATTAGCGAAATGCAGTAGGTTTGCTAACTTAGGAAAATAGCATGTAATCATGCTCATACTAAGTATACTTGACTGTTTGTCATGGAATTATTATAACTCACAACTTTGATAATGTTCACATTATGACCAGTGATGATGTATTGAAGGCTTCAACAACTTGTAAACTGTAACAATTCATAGGCAAACTAGTTATAAACACTTATAAAAAAGGATCACAACCAAACATACTTGTTAGGAATTAGTATTTGCATTTACTTATTAATGACAATGTGACATTAAGATTTAAGAACTGAATCAAATACTGTTTCACAAAATGCTGTTTGTAAAACGTTAAATATTTCACTATTACTTAACTTGTGTCTACCTTATATAAACTCCCTATAATTAACTATATTGAAAGTATCAATAATCAATATATGTAATGTTAAAACCCACAAAAAAGAAACAGTGTTTCAAGTTTGACAATAACAGGCTGACATACAGCATATATTAGACAGACTTTTCAACTTCTATATAGAAAGCATGTCTGGGTAATGTACATAACATTTAATTCAATATTGCAAACACAATATCAACCTGTTGTTAAGTTATTATAAATGAAACATTTTTGTTGCACAAGTGAAATACAAAAATATATAATAATCACTACAGCTTGTCATCAAAAAGCAATGGTCTTTTATGTGGGTTTTTACTGTCACAAGTGAAACAATATCAATCAATGCATAAGTTGCATAACATAACATAACATAACGTACTGAAAGGATACTGTATGTGTCGTCCTTGCTATAATCTGACACTCTTAAAGTTTTCTTTTGTATTATATCAGTTATTACTAAAATGTCTTGTCACCTATTTGTAATAAACATTTAAATACTGTGTAATGGTTAAATTGTCATCAACAGTCATTGGTTGCCAATCAAGGGTTAGGAAATCCAACCCTACCGAACTTAAGTGCAATGTTCATTGCTTCAAAAAAACCTTTCTTTGAGCTATGGACTGTGGGAATCCTTAATACCGCTGTACACGATGATGTTGTTGGTAGACTCTTAGTATCGTCATCTGCCAAAAATGCTACCTTCAACCTTTTTGCTAACCCACCAAATGGAACCACTGTCCATCCAGTCCAGAACTGTAATAGTGCACGTTGTCGGGAATCACCAGGAAACTCTTCATCTTCATCTTCGTTAATATAAGATTTCAACCACTCATATGCTTGACGTTCAGAAAAACTGTGAGTTTCAACTGCAATAATCATTTCCATTATGCCATCTGCAGTAAGTGGTTGAAATTCTCCAGCGGTGAATAAAATTGTGCAGATCTCTTTATTCTTTTGAAGAAGCTTAAGGAGGCTGAGGGATTTTAATCCCTCTGAAAATTCCTGTATTTCATTCTTCCTTGAGACAAGCAATTCGTGCGACACAAGATGCTGTAAAAGGAAATCTTTACTACTCATATTGATCACCTTCTCTTTCGGCCATCGTGACGAATTTATAATCTGCCAAAATGCTTCGCATTTCGAATTTTCCTCTAACAGCTGATGGATATCATCATCGTTTTTGCATGTTTCAAGACAGTTTATGAATTCATGCAATAATGCGGTTGAGGAATCCAGTGGAATATGCTCCTTCGTAATTTTGGATATGGTTTCATCCTCTTCTTCTCCTACTATATAGGAGTAAATATGTGGTGCCAGAAACGGAAAGCCAATCGAACTTCTCTGGAATAATGCATGACTTACAATTACACCAGCAAGCTGAAACAACATACCTTTCGTTGCATCTTTGATTGGTACCATATTTGGCTCAGCACCTTCAAACAATCGAGATTTTACCTCGTTAAGGGCCAATGAGAAAAATTCTATCTTCATAGCGCCACCGTCAAGACCTTCTTCATTTTTGAACGAGACACAAAGTTCTTTTCGGAGGATATCTGGTTTTGTAAGTGATCTCTTATAGAACTTAACAACGTCCATCCATAATGTCTCTCGGTCTACAAGTATACATTCGTCACCAGATAATTCGTTTTTCTCTACAAACGACTCAATTAAATCCTCCAAGGATATATTTTCCTCTTTATCAGCTGTCTGCTTGTCTAGAAGCAGACATGCTGCATCATCAATTGTTATGGCAATTGATGCAATATCTT